GTTCTCTGCGGAGATGCCTGAGTATCTTTACTGTATTGACAAGTATCTTTACTGCTGATGGGAGCCTTGACATTGCTTTTCTGCCATGCTCAGGTTTTATCGCCTTGATCTGAGCAGAGAGAAGGGAGTCCGGTCCCTCCGCGATCTTCACCCGACTTCCATGCGCTGGATTTCGGGAAACTGTGCCGGCCGTCCCGTTTCTCATCCTCTCGGAGCAGTGCTCGCTCTGCAGTGGCTCCCTTGTGTTTTGTGAAGCACCGCATACATGTAGAGCATGCTGGCATTTTTTTAAGATGGCGTGCATTTATCTGATGAAGAGCTATGTAAATTTAGATGCAAACTCGTTTCAGCCCTCAGGGTGCTTGGCGAGTTGCCTGGTGTGCTCTCGGTGCTGGAAAAGTCTGCGCACCACTGTTGCTCCAAGGGAAACTTTCAAGCGCGTCATTCCTCTTCTTTTTTTCCTTATAAAGGTTATTGTGCCTCAGCCCTCACTGAATTACCTCCCTAGTTCAGAAAGGAAAGGTTATTTTTCCCCTCTCTTTTCCCCTTGGCAACTCAAGAAGAGTTGCCATCACTGCTCGATAAAATGTCCCTTGCAGGGCCATTGGTATTTAAGGGTGCTCCTGGGATGCCCCTGAGCTCTCTGCCTGGGCCACTGACCGCGGAGGCAGGACAGGGACAGCCTAAAAAGGGATCAGAGTAACTAAAAGATCTTTCCTGGGCCCAGAGGCCTGTGAAACCCATTTGTGTTGTAAATATGGTGGGAATGTTTGTCAGTCACAACAGAAAAAAAAGGTGCCTGAGGATGCTCACTTTGGCCTGAAATTTTTCATGTGTTTTCTCCAGTGATTTGAGGGATGGCTAATTACTCTCTCTTTCCTGCAAAACCAAGAAAGGACCATCCATATTTCATATTAGGAGACATGGTCGGCATAAATATAGCTACTGCTTTTTTTCTGACACGCGTGCAGCGAGGAGCTCGCTGTCTCCCAGCTCTCGGTGCTGGTCCCCGGCTTTGGCCTCGCCGCTGGGTCGGCCCAGCTTTGGGTCTGGTCCTAACCTCGCCGTTTTTTTCTGTGCATGTATTTCACCTTGTGCAACACCGAGCGCACGCCTTTAATCGCCGTCTTCTCCAGGTGTGGTCTGAGAGGCTGTAGCTGATACCCCGTTGGATGTTACCCGGTTAGCATTACCTGGTACGTAGCAACTGACGGATCTGCAGGCTCAGTTAAATAAATTAAAAAAAAAAGTCATCCATCTTTTGCTCTGCACAGGCCTGGAGAAACCCCTTTTCTGGGGCTCTTGAGTTGCGAGGTGGGAAGGCTACAGGATGCGGGGGTCCCCCAGGCTCAACCCCTGTCTGCTGGATGCTCCCCACGCACGCCGGAGGGGACAAGATATTT